AAAAAAAAAAAAAAAAGACGACTCGTGGTTTTTCTGAAATTCCCATTTACCCTGGGTAACTCTGTATCTTATCTGGCAGCCCTGCCTGGGAAATAACAGTAAATGGCAAACTCTTTCAATTAAACTACAAAAGACATAAAGGAGTCTGATTGCAAAGAACTGAAACCTCTGGAAGTGTGAATGATTGAGAGCAAAAGCATTATTTTATTTTGGAAAACTTACCCAGAAGTGGAGGAGTTTTGTTTCTTTTTAAGCCTTTAATCTTGTTGCTCACAAGACTCTTTTGCAAAAATAAGGGAGGGGCCCCGAGGGGACAACGTATCGGAAAGTATTAAACGCCAGCCTCAGGCCGCGACCAGCTCGTGCCGACTGGACGGTCACAGGCGCCTTGGTCTGCGATCGCGGGCTGACGACCCACACTCGTGAACTCTCCAGGGCCATTTTCAGAGGAGATGAAGAGAGGGGGGACACACCATCACTTCAGCTGAAGAACGCGGCACAGTTAACGAAAGCCCCCCCTCTGCGGGATTTTAGAGAAGGGCTTTGAATAGAGATGACCCGGAGCCTGTTTTCTACCCACAGCCGCTTGGAAGGCGAAGGGAGGAAACCAGGTCAGCTGACCTTCAGCGCGACCTTGGGAAGCCTCAGGTGGCGCAGCTCCTGCACTTATAATCAGGCCCCAGAGCCTGGACACTGTGAATGTGGGGGCGGGGGGGGCGCCCATAAAACAAATAATCCTCACAATACGTTGTCACAGTCTCGGGTGGCGCGTGGAAGCGGCTGAATTACGGGGCCCAGCACCGTCCAAAACCACCCGCTCCGGGCTTATCACTTCCCCGAAAGCCCCCGGCTCTGCTTCCCCTTATCGCTCCCTCCCAGAAGTTCACTTCCACCAGGCTCCATCTTCACCGCCTACCGTCAGCTGTGACGGAGGAAACCAAACGGACTAAAATGTCCAGCGGAGCCTGGACTCGTGAAAAGCAGACCCTCCTGGATCCCACATGAGGGCCTCGAAATTAGCCCTTCTCAGACATTTGACTTCAGAACCCCTTCAGGGCTCTAAAAAATTACTGTGAACCCCCCCCCGCCCCCAGAGACTTTTGTTTATGTGGGTAATATATACCAATACCCACTGTATTGAAAATTAAAAGAGAAATATTTAAATATGTATTCACAAATTTGCTTTGAAATGAAAAATGAACTCACTGCATGGTAACATAAAATGTTTCACTGTTGCTTTTGTGATTGTTTTAAAAAATAATAATAATAAGAGCTTAGTGATGAGTAGTGTTGTTTAAATTTTTGCAGATCT